CCAGGGGGGTTGGTCAAGGCAATCGAGGACCTTTGGTGCTCTCGGGGCCCCAGCAGCCAGGTCCTGGGGCACATCCAGAGCAGAGGACAGCCAGGAGTTCCATGGGTGACAGAAATACAGAACAGCCTAAAGGTGAGACTGGGGGTGTGAGGGGAAACACCGTAACATGAATCACAGAATGACAGTTATCTAAGTTGGATATTTAAGTTATTTAAGATCACTGAGTCCAACCATCCCCCAGCACTGCCTGGTCCCCACTGCCCTGTGTCCCTCACACCACATCTCCACGGCTTGGAAACCCCTCCAGGGGCGGGGACGCCACCTGCCCTGGGCAGCCTGGCACAGCCCTGGGCAACCCTCCAGGGGAAGAAATTTCGTGGCATGGCTGTGAGAAGGCAGGGCCAGGGCCCAGCTCTTCCTCCCCAGGAGAGCAGACCCTTCTTCCCACTGCCTCTCACCTGCCTTGCAAAGGCAGGGGGGAGGCTTGGAGGGGCTCTGGGTGCCATGGGGTGTGGTAGATGTGGTCAGAGAGGCAGTGGGATACAGAGCAGTACTAGCCATGTGCCCTCATGCCCAAGAAGGCCATGAGGAAGAGTGTGGCCAGCAGGCCAAAAGAGCTTCTCCTCCCCTTGTACTCTGCACTAGCGAGGCCACCTCTGGAATATTGGGTCCAGTGCTGGGCTCAACAGTTCAAGAGCAACAAGGAACCACTAGGAAGAGACCAGCAGAGGCTGCAAAGCTGCTGAGGGGCTGGAGCATCTCTGTGCCAGGCCAGGCTGAGAGCCCTGGGGCTGTGCAGCTGCAGAAGAGAAGCCTCAGAGGGGATCTGATCAGTGCTGAGCAAGAGCTAAAGGGCCCCGGGGGGCAAGAGGCTGGGGCCAGACTCTGGTCAGCGACTCCTGGATGTGACCCTGGGCACCCTGCTGGAGCAGGGGGTTGGATGAGATGATCTCCAAAGGTCCTTCCAACCCCACCGTGCTGGGATACTGGGATTTTGTGAGCATGCCACCCTCAGGAGGGCAGGGGCAAAAGCCAGGATTCTTCTGCTGACTGCTTGCCCATCTTAGAGATATTATCACTAATGGGCAACACAGGAGCCAGATCCTCCCCAGTCTCAGATCATATGCAAGAGATCCCAGGTGACCCACCACTGGAGGAGTGAAGAGATCAGTGTGCTCACTCACAACACATAGTGCAGCGAAGAAGGGAGCAAGTTGATTCCAAACCCAGGACATGGGGGAAGGAAGGACCCAGGAGATGAGCTCAATCCCAGTCATACAGTAGTCGCCAGGAGAAAGCCTCATAATTCTCCTCCTGTATCAATCTTGTCCTGCCATCACTAGGAACTCTACTTGCTGTGAAGAGTCAGGGAGCCCTTTCAATAACCAGCATCCCCACACAGCACAGCCACCAAATAAACAACCTCCCATCCCCAGCAGAGGGGCCTCTTTAGAGGTGGCTCCTTGCCCTGCCTCCAGGTTAATGTGGGAGGTGGTGGCACCTAGGGGGGATCTCCTCATGAGCTCCCACCCAAGGCTGGCCACACCCTGGGTGAAAACCAGCCAGGAGGGGCTTTCCTGCCTGACTGTGGGCATCACCCCTATGCCAACCCTCAGTCAGGGCTGGGAGTTTAACCCAGCACTTCAAGGACTGAGGAACAAGCCTCACCTCTCCTTCATGCTTCCTTCCACAGCTGCCAGCCGACCCTCCCTTGGCCCTCCGGTGAGCAGCAGCCGGAGCCATGGATGAGGTGATGGAGCTGGAGATGGGGGGGAACTCCCTCCTGAAGGCCGTGTGGCTGGGCCGGCTCCGCCTGACCCGGCTGCTGCTGGAAGGGGGGGCTTACATCAACGAGAGCAACGAGAGAGGGGAGACTGCCCTGATGGTGGCCTGCATCACCAAGCACGTCGACCAGCAGAGCATCGGCAAGGCCAAGATGGTGAAGTACCTGCTGGACAACAGAGCCGACCCCAACATCCAGGACAAGTCCGGGAAGACGGCCCTGATGCACGCCTGTATCCGTGGCGCCGGCGGGGACGTGGTGTCCCTGCTGCTGGAGAACGGGGCAGACCCCAGCCTGGAGGACCACTCGGGAGCATCCGCCCTGGTCCACGCCATCAACGCCGACGACAAGGATGTGCTGCAGCACCTCCTGAACGCCTGCAAGGCCAAAGGGAAGGAGGTGATCATCATCACCATGGACAAATCGCCCTCCGGCGCCAAGACCACCAAGCAGTACCTGAATGTTCCCCCGTCGCCAGAGAGGGCCCCTCCCGAGG